TTTTGCATTTTTTTTATATTTATACCCTTTTCCATAAACAATTAAATAAAAACAAAGGCAAATGTAATTTACTTTCTCTTGTTATATTTGTTTTCACAATAACATCATTTAATTAACAAAAATTTATATTGGATAATTAACTAATTTAATTTTTGTTGTATAATGTTTAATATAGATTCGCATAGCGCAATTTTGTTTAGATTTTTCTCCACTTTACTATTTTTTATTAGATTTTTTTTATTTGATTTGTTTCGCAATTAATCTTAGTATTTTGTTTTTATTTTTTCTTTGAGACCTTCTTGTTGTTGGGTTTTAGTTTGATTATGAGAAAAATTTAATAGATTTTCCATTTTCAAAGTGATTTGAATTAGAGAAACTAAAATTGATAAAAAAAAACATAAATATTATAAAAAAAATTTATGAAAACCATTAAGAGGTGAGAGAGAGAGAGAAAAGTTATAGCACCATATCATGAAGAGTTAGCTTATACATGATAGATATTAAAATAGTTTTAATAACACTAGAAAAGATATCATTCTAAGGCAAAATAAGATTCTTACACATCATTCAAATGTAGGGAGCTATTTTCACTTTGATGCATGATTTGCTTGTGCTAGCCTTCTTCTTTTTTTTGTTCATTTTGATCTTTAATCCGATAATATTTTTTTAATTAAATCTCAAATCTCATTTAACTGATTTAATATAATCTTTATTTTACTAATAAATTTTCAATTAAGACCTAATCCTTTTCAATTTAATCTATAATTTTATAATAACTCGTTAATTAGGATATGAATCCCATTCCACCCGATACAAAGCCATTTTTTTCTTTCATTAATCTAGCTTTTTTTTCTCTATTAAATCTTCAATTTAATACTAATTTACATATGATTTAAGCTCAAATACACCAATGTAATAATATATCAGGGGAAGGGAAAGAAAAAGGATAGGTGGCTGATTGAGTTAACGTATTATGATTATATCCATGACCCGGGGTCATACAATTAATATTTACCCCAATTGATTATATTATTTTAATATTAAAATCCAAAAACAATACCATTGTTTCTTTTAAGTCTACCTATATTTTTTTGAAGGTTTCTTTTTTAACCCAAATTTATTGATATTTACAATGAGTTTCACAAGAACTATACTTATTTTTTCATTTTTAATTGATCAATGGAGTTTGATCATTAAAAAAGAAAAGTTTATGAGTTCATTTATTATACCTCAAATCTATACCCTAAACAAAGCGTAATATTTTCTAAATGAATTTTCAATTTATTTTTATATTAACATACCAGTCTTATTGACTATGCAATATCATGAGTTTTTTTCACTTCAATTTATAAAAATATTAAATGAATAATGCTATAAAAACTTAAAATCTTATTTTAAAAACATGTTATCATTTTATGATTTTTAAGTTATTATTATAATTATTTTATTTAAAAATAATTCATTTTATACCATTAAAAAAATAAGATAATTAAATTAAAAAAAGGGGAAGGGCCAAGACATAGGTTAGCAATCTACGTCATCAATAAAAACCGAGAAGACTAGGAACTATAGGAGTAAAAGGCAGTACTTTAATAAAAACATTTTTACCATACTAATACGATTTTTTTATAATTCTCTATCCAAATATTTACTTATTTAATTAACAATTATCAGAACCATAAAAAGAGATTTCAAAGAAGTGCTTTCATTATTATGACGTTGTTATACTTAAAATTTATAAAAAAAATTCTGAAATTTTATTTAAACCATGAATTAAAATAAAAAAAAACAATTATTTTAATCTACAGTGTATGTATTTACATAAACGTCTCGTATCATTTGGTATTATTTGAAATTTCTATATATATATATATATATGTTTTTATATTTAGATTTTTGAAAACCAATCAATCCCATCTTGAAAAATCTTTTTTATTGTTTTTAAATTGAACTTTTGAAATCAGGAAGAAAAGAAAAGGAGTGCTTTTATATTTTGTGCCTCTAAAGCCGGTTCACGTGAGCAAGCGAAAACCCTGCACCAATAAGAACCAAACAACTGGCATCTTTTGGTAGCTTCCCGGTATTTTAATATAGACCTACAGGAGACCATAGACCCCAATCAGGCTTTGCCCTCAAAACTACTGTCTACGGTCCCCTCCCCCACCCACGTGCCCATGTCTCCCCGAAGTCACCACCTTTTTCGCTTGATGAATGCCTTAAAGCCAACACGTCACCATACCGGTTAACTTGATTTTAATTCAGTTTAAATTTTTTAAAAAGTCAACTTAAAAGTAATTTAGTTTGATAAAATCAATTTAATGAGTAAATCTATAACCTAAACTTATATGATTAAAATTTACAAATAATCTGATTTAACATGATTAATTTAACAAGTTAATTTACAATAAGTCAATTTATTACAAATTTAGTTTTATTATTTTTTAAAATAATATTATTTTGATATTTTTAATTGACCTCTGTTAATCTCGGTAAACCCACCTAAATTTATAAATTAGATTGAAAATTTCTTTAAAAATCAACCCTCAATCTTAGGTTTTGAACAAAGAAGAATCAGAATCGTTGCCCGAAACTAAAGCAAGGGATTCAATGATCTACGGTGAATTCGATTTCACGATGAGAGAGATAGGAACAACACCCAATCCTGATTTTCACTCTTTCGAGATCGAAGAATAGCCTAGTGCCTATAGTCTAGTAAAGTAGCCACACTAGGGATGAGACTCACCTCGCCAGCGAAGATGGCGAGAAGAAAGGATCACGGCCAAATCGACTCGGAACTCTTGTTTAGCAGTGAACGAATCCGATCTTTGCTTTGACAGGTTATAAAAACTTGGTTTGATTTTTTTATAAAAAAATAATGTTATTTTGATATTTTTAATTTATTTGTATTGATCTTGATGATCCCACCGGAATTTATAAACTAAATTAGAAACTGTTTAAAAATTAATTCATGATGTAGACGAACTAAGATCTAGGTTTTGAATTGTATCATGACCTATCTGGATTCAATAACTTTGCTTTCCATGCATGTAATATGGATGGTTGTTCAATTCTTTTTGAAATCTCACGTTCTACAAAGTCACCATCAAAATTTGTGGCCGATGGGACTGACTGAGGTAGATTGAGGTACAATTTTGGCAACTTTCACCATTGATAACGAGTATGCGTGCATGGAGACAGATATGATTGTAGCAAGAACAACCCTTGTACGTGAGGCAACAAGCCATGATTGCAACAGTTTCTTGAATTCTTGGAAAATGGGAACTCTTTTCTGATGAATCTGTTCTTGTGCTCGTAATGTTAATGATTTATGTTAGTTTATAGCCATAATGGAAAACTTGTTCTTGTCTTCACTCCAAAGAGTACTTGAGAGGAATAATGGTGGAAGATACATTGGAAGAAGCTTGATAACTATATGATCATCTTCTTTCTCTTCTTCATTTTATTACTTTTTATTTAAATCTCGCCAAACATTATATTGTATTCAAGTAGATATTGATCACTAAGATATTGAGATGTAGGATGAGATTGTAAATTCAATTTATAGTTTAGATTATATAAATTACCATGATTAAGTTAGGTTTGAGTTGAGTTAAAAAAAATAAAATTGATGGACCTAATTAAAATGATAAATTAACATATATTCTATAAACTCGAGCTAATTATTTAAAATATTTTTTTAGCGTAATGCTGTTTTGATTAATTTAAACTAAACCTGCTAACACGTTATCTAGATCTTGTACAAAGCCATGAGTTAATTTTGTGTTCTTATTTATCAAAGATGAAATATCATTAATCTAATCACTTGGTTATCACACAAATCTCAAAGCCCTAATAAATACAAATACAAACCTTAAATACCAAATTTAAAAGCCTTGTTCTTGAAAAAAAGCTAAAAATACATTTATATGATGAAATATTTAGGCATTTATTTGATATAAATATAAACACAAACCTTACGAGTTTTGAAATATGATATAAATTATTTTTTAATTAAAAATATATTAAAATAATATTTTTTTAGTTTTTATTTTATTTTTAATATTAACACATTAAAATTATAAAAATAATATGAAAAAACATTATACAAAAAATAAATTAAAAAAACTTTAAAAATCAGAAACTAATTGTAAAGCAGGACATCATCACATTAGAAAAGTATGACAAAATGAGTATCTCTAATAGTTTTTTTTTTTTTTTAAAGAAGCCGGTTAATCTCTGTACATGAAAAGAACTATTTTAAAATCTTTAACCTTAAAATTGTTGAAAAATAAAGAATATTTGAGAAATTACTCAACGCATCTACTCAGCTTTTTTGAACCTTCCAAGCAACGGGACACCCTTATAGGTGAGCCCAAAAGAGTTTTTCCCTGTGTTCTGGATGAGTAGACAGATTTTCCTGTGTCAATAAGGTGCTGGGGAATCGTTTCAAGATTCAAAGCTCTAAGAGCTATGATTCTCTTTGTTATGAGTGTTCTGTCAATCATGCTTGTAGAATTCCATGAAGGACTGGTTAATCCATCGTCATCAAGTGTTGAAACTTGAAAGTGCGAATGGCGGCTCCTGCAAGCAAGAAATCATTCCATGGACCTAACTAATCATACCATCCAGACTCACAGCACTGACCAAAACGTTCAGCCTCTACTCTTATGCTCATCTTCCATTCCAAATCTCATTTTCAAATAGGGAGCACAGGAAAAAGAAAAGACCAGTGCATGGTACGAGCTGCTTCTATGAAAATGATGATTGCATGCTGCAATGAATTGTATTCCCAAAAATTTAATGGCCATTCCTTGAGATGTGGTCATGTGTTATGAATACAGTCTAAGAAATGTCTGCATCTGCATCTCTGGGATTTTCACCTAATCCAACTATGTCTCGCAGGAGAGACTCAGAGGCCAGGGAGGAAGCAACAGAGAGTAAAATCCAGGAGCAAATATGATTCCATCCAGCAGAGAAATGAGTGTGAATCCACTAACATATGCATCAAAAGATAGAGATCAATTGCATTGAAAAAATAAAATGATTGTATTACATCTTGGTCCAAAAAACTCAGACGAGCTTTTATGGCCTTTGAGCGATTATATCCCAGTTAATCAATAGAAGTCAATAATCCACATGATTGGTGAATTCAAAATTTCCGAGCAAATAGCTCACATGTGATTATATTATTCATCGATGCAGCAGAGCTCCCAGAACCTAAAACTGGAACGACGTTAAATATGGGTTCTTTCCCAATTTGAACCCTCCGATCAATCTCAACAAGTTCGTTCATTGCATTTTTGAATAAGAGTGACACTGTCTCCAGTTGAATGCCGCTGTTTGTTGGGAAGTTGATCCTTAAATTCTATAAAAGAAAATTACAGGGGAAGACTATTAAAGCAGGAGGACAAGAAAAACATAAAGGAAAATGAAAACAGCTCTGGTGTGTGTGTGTGAAAGCATTTTGTGTTTTCTGCATAGTAGTCGCTTGTACATGCACAAGCATTCCCTGGTCATGATTCCAGGGAGCTTCAAAAAGTTTAAAATGCACAGCATCATTGCAACATCAACAAGGTCTTACAGCATATGATTGGATATAGTCAAGGGCCAAATATCAGAAGTGATCTGAATTTAAAAAAACAACTATAGTTAAAATGAGATCAAGGAAACTCACCATTGTGTCTTCCCAAGAAAAACCATTTTCCATAATCCCTTTATCAAGAAGATAAACACAAAATCTTGATACTCTTTCCATATCCCCTTTTGAGACAGAATTATGATAATCCACATCTTTCGCATTGACACCAAGGGACTCAGAACAGATATTAGCAACATGATCTTCTGTGATAGATAAAATAACTGCACATATCTTCCCACTAACAACACATTTCTGAATGCAAGACTCATGCCACTGTGCATGCTGAAATCCCCAACAATTAGCCACTGTAAAAGAGGTTGGGTTTTGAACACTTGTAACTGCTGTTTCTGTGTCCTCTGGGACAAAAAGAATGGGCTTAACTTCTACAAATGCCCTGAAAGTAACCAGAGAGGCAATGAAAAGCATGTCAAGAGAGAAGCTCTTCCAAGTAAATTTCAGCATGTATAATCTAATCTACATATTTATATGTACAAGTCAAATCTGCATGATATAGTATTGATTCATGTTTAAATATTAAATAACTGGATTTGGAGTAAATGCGCCAAGTGACATTCTTCAAAATACTTTGTAAAATGCTAAGATATTCTATATATAACTACGTCTAAATTCAATAAAAATATTCTTATTGGCATGCAGGCAATACCATTTAACACATAAATGGCAGGATATACAACATTCTATTTAATTGTTTGTATACCAGTTCCAAATACATTCAGCAAAGCCTTATCCGAACTTATTATACAAGCACCATTGCTTACTCAAATACACAAGATTGAATCCTATACAAGTCATGTTAATTTATGTTTATAAAAAAGTGTACCTGCAGTAGCTGATATGCTCTTTTATTTAAACTTTAGAGTGCTCTATTTTTCTCTAACTGTTTCAACGACCAAATTACTTAAATTTGAGTTGATAGCTCAAATCCTAATCACCATTGTTGTTTTTAACCGATTCCAATAGGTGGTCTCACAAATTTATACATTTCTCTCAAATAACATTATCCAAGTTGATATTGTTTGTTTCACCAATCTCATTAGGTACACTATTGAATTTACTATTATCTGTCCTTTTGTTTCTAAAATTATTTTTAATTTATGTTGAGTTGGTAAACATAGTTGGCAAACAAATATAAACAAAGGAAACATGTGCCTAGAGGCTAATATATTTGGTCAGAATTCCAAATTCAAAGATATGAAATAACATAACTATGCGATGGTGGATAGAGTCATAGAGATTCCTGCTTGGAAGGTCATAGAAGAATATCATAAAGAGGTACAGAAGAAGTACCTTTTTGGCAGATCAGGCACAAGAACATACAGAAATATTGGATAAAGAACTTTGCACTTGCTTCCTTTTTCTAGTTGCAGCAGTCTCATTTGCTTTAGAAAAGAGTCCTGCTTCTCCTGAATCTTAAGTCTTTCAGGCAGTGGAGTATTTCTAGAACAGTAAATGGTGAAAACAATAGCAGAGATAGATATTGAGCAGTTAAAGACATTTGCCACTGCTTCACTATTTTCTAGTGCTCGTTCCATCTCAGCAGAGGGGCCTTCATTGCATAGAGTCATAGTGGCCGGGTCAAGCCCCAACTGTCCAGCCATGTGCAGTATCTCCTTATGCAAAGTTGCCTGAGAGCAAACAGTAAAATAAAATAAAAACATTCAAATCTCCATGTGATTATGCAAATATTTAAAGCAGGGTAATCGCAAAGGTACTCAAACATAATCATGCCCGTCCAGGGAAATCATAGACAGATACAGTCATCTTGTTCAAGACTAAGCAGAGCAATATCACCAATGCAATCATTTCCTAATCAGAAATTTTCAAGGTCCGAGCAGAACAAACACAAGCAACCTCAAAACCTTAGTGTCAATATTGTCCTGTAATCATAAAATTCAATTCCCTGCAACTGGCAATATATGTCTTGTATAATCGTTGTCTTGACATGAGCTCATCCAACATAGTCTTGGTAACTAAATAAATCTTACTGACAGAAACTGGAATCCTGTTTTTTTAAAAAGTTAAAATTTCCTTCTATATGTTATTCAAACTTCTTTCATCACTATTTGGTAAAGAAAAACCAAATCAATGAGGAGGAAGCATAACACCACCAACAGAACCAAATAATTAATAAATGGATTCAAAACAAGTAATTTACAATACCTGGCTATATGGTCCAATGCAACTGGGTGCCCATAAGGAAATACTTTGCACATGCAACACATTTTTGCTGTTATCATTTGCCACAAGAACTTCAATATAAGCTCTCCCCAAACTTGCTTGCAACATAGGCAGTTCTATTGTACTGCGTGATGGAACACCAAAAGGGCACTTGTCCTGGGTAATGAATCTCACATATGTCTCATTTACCGTAGCAAACTCATTCATATCAGCAATATAAAGATGAATATACAGGACATGCTCCCAACCAAAACCATATCCTGTAAGCTGTGATTCGATGTGCTTCAGAACAATTGCTAGATCTTCATGTGAACCTGCCAATAAAAATCGGTCCCTGAACCTTGATACTTGTAGAGTAAAAAGGAAAAGTAAAGGAAAAGTGAAAGGTGCTTTGGGCAAAGATGAAGATATATACTTCTGGGGAATGATAGGGCAGATGCATCATTCTTCTAATGTTTACCTGCTGAATTTTTGCACGAATCTTGCAACCAGCAACAAATGGAAAATATATTATCCTTCTTCGTTCTAGAGATGTAAATTCTATCATCACTAACTTCAGCTAAGTTAGTGCTTTCAGCATTAGACTGGCATCTAGCCTCACTTCTTTGCGGGCAGTCTCCTTGAACTTCAAACACAGAACCATTTTTTCCCAGAGAGGAATAGTTGGTTTTATCATTATTACTCAATGAAATGGCTGTCTCCTTATTTTCCAAATGAAATGTCAAAGGATGAATGACCCCAACTGAAGCTATGGAGCCTGGAGAGTGTAGTACAGTTTGAAATTCATCGAGCACAATTCTGGCATTCTGAGAATTGGAAACAGTTATATGGATGATAGAACTTAGAAAAAAAATAAATGAATGAACAATTTTGTTAAAAGTTACAACACAAGCTATCTTAACCTTTAAGATAAAATGCAACAAAAATACGATACATTGTACTATCAGGAATAACTTTTCCCATCGTATACATAGATCATAAACCAGAAACTTTTATCTCCAGATGAACAATGAGTAAAGTATAACAAGAAGCACTCTGCAAAGGGATGGAACTACGGTATGCTTTGGGGGGAGCATGGCACCCCCATTGTTTTAAAATATTTTAATTTTGGTCCTTCAATTTTCAAAATTTTCATTATAGTTATGCATTTGGCCCCTCCAAAAATAAAATATTTGCTCTCCAACCTTGTAGTTTTTATGATGGCACCCCATTTAAAATTTTCTAGTTCCACCCCTGACTCCACACCTCAATCTTCTTCATCACATACCATAAGATTACCAAGCAAGATGATGAAGACAAAAAGGATGGAGAGAATGAAATTAGGAATCAAGATTACAACTCGAAAATATAAGGTACACTTACTACAAAAAGTGGACAGTCAAGTGTCAGTGTTTCATATTCTCCTCCTTCACCACATACATTTATCCCATACAGCCTACCAAAAGAAGGTCAAAATGAGAAAACTATGCATTTGTGCTTAAAAAATGTAAAAAAATTACACAATAAAGGAAGAAGAAGAAAGAAAAAACAGACACATACTCTTTCAACTTATGCAGATGGGTGTTCAAGAATGCTATTTCTTTGCCCAAGTGCTTTGAAGGTTCTAAACCAATGGCTGCTACCTATGGCATTAAAAGACTATTACCCTTCATATTTTAGTCCACATTCCATCAATGCAACCTTGAAAAGATGTCTCACTCATACCTTTACAGTGATAGCCAAAATCCCATTTGTTATCTGGTTGGACAGGAAACAAAATTATCCCACTAGAAGCTCAATTCAGATCTTGATTGACTCCAACTCATATTAAGAAAATACAATTTACCATTTCTTGAAGGAGCAACGACTGATCTTGTTTCCACAAATATGCTAGAGAAACAAGCCCTAACCTTGAACAAACACTCTCCACCCGTAACCTCTGATAATCAGATGCAATAGCGCCGGAAGATACAGCTGTGATGGAGGGAATCTGTCTTTTGACTTCATTCAGTAACATGAACATATCTTCCACTTCATCACCTGGGGTTGTCTTGTAGTTAAGTGATTGATGCCTATAATCCACAGGACAGTAAGATAATTTTCACATCTCTCTTTTTACCCCCAAAACATAATATGCCATAAATGTCATCAAATTTTTATTTCACGTTTTAGTTTGGAAACTGTTTATCAATATAGGATAACAATAGAATTTTCATATAACAACTTCTTTGACTTTACCAAGAGCCTCCAAAGCCTTCATGGAGTTAATATATAGTATCGGATTTCACATTGCCCCGGAAGACATTAAATACAAGCCTAGTTCTAAACAAACATTGCCCAAAATAAGACAATTGCTTTTACCAATAACATCCTCTGAAAAAGGGCTTGCCTTGTGGATCCTTGTATTCGCCTTCTGAATAACGGCAATCCCATGCATTCTGCATAGCTGACAATTATTTGGTGCCCAACCTGCCAAAAATTCAAGAATTTCAATCATACTCGAAAATAAATAACACAACTTGCAAAAAAATGGAGGCAAATCAGCAATTAAACACAAGAAACCTTTCACTGAATGACAAACATTGTTAACCAGAAAAACTTTCAAGTGCAAAAAGACTTCATTTTTCCCATAAAGTTTAGATCTTCAACAACCCCCCCAAAACAAAAAACAAAAAAGCATCGACAATGTTTCTGCCTCATTACAAATAAAACCTTAAAATTCCATTAAAAAATCATCAAACCCAAAACCTTAAACCTTTAATCTATTATGTAACACACACAAAAAAATTCTAAATCAAAATACATATACTTACAGTTTGATACATGAAGCTATCTAACTCATCAACTGAATCATCAGCAGGCATCAAATTTGCCAATGCAACAATCTATCAAAATTTGCAATTCAAAAAACGAAAACGCATTACAAAGACAAAAAAAAAAAAGGTTTGTGTTTTGTGGGTGATAAAGTGTAGTTTTTTTCTCAGGAAGCAAACAAAAGAAAGACAGAGACCTCACGTCCATATTGGATGCACTTCATCATAGCATAACAACTATCCTTGCCGCCGCTTACTAAAGCCACCACCTTCATCTTCGTTTTCACTGCTAGGGATTTAGAGGATGGTTGATGGCCAATCTTGTTTCTTTGACTAGTGTTCTTAGTGAATAAACTGTAACCAGTTGGAGTCGCTACTCTTTCATTCGGGGTGTTCGGCTCTTCTTCTGTCTTTCCTTCTCTGTAGTAAAAAAGAGAGAAAATATTCCTTTTAATTATTGTATTATTACTACTACTATTATATAAATACACACGTATCATTAAATATCTCATAATTTAATATCATCTAAGGAAATGAAACTAAAAAACAAGAAAAAGATAGGAAATTGAGGATGGATGGTCTATTTTTTTTTATATATAAATAAATTATCTTATTAAAATCAAATTTAAAAACAATAAAAATACAAAAAATAGATGAAAATACACTTTTCAATTCAAGAAAAATATAGCAGAAGGTTTTTCTAAAAAATGATTGAATAAAACCTGAACATTTAAAAATAAAATAATTGAGGTTAGTTAATTTTAAAATATTTAAATTTATTAAATCTATAATTAAATATTATTATATTAATATGTATAAAAAAATACGTTTAAAGCTAATTAATTTTTAAATATTAAGGTTATTTTAGTTTTTAAAAATAAAATAAACAGTTTTTCTTCTAAAAAAGCTTCACTTTCATTAGGGATGGAAAAAGTATATTTAATTGTAAAATTATAATTATAAAATAATTAATATATTGTAATTATAATTTTACCATTACATATAATTTCTTACACTCTAATTTGTTCTTAACATGATGTTGAAGCAATATTTTTTTTTTGTTATATTTGTTAGCTTTATGGCTACCGAGAACAACAATATTATGAATGGATATGTTTTAAATATATATATATATATATATATATATATATATATATATTA